CATTCATGCTTTGTGTGTCACATGTCACATGGTATGAATGTGATGACAGCACTGACGTGGCAATTACCACATTTTCTTTGTTTGTAAATGGAGACAATAATCCTCAGAATGATCTGAGCAAAGTTTAGGTAATGAGAATGAGGCGTCTATATTTCATATAGTTATAAATGATGACATGTGGTCTGTCAGGAGCAATGATTATACTGACACTTTTGACAATGAAGATGTCAAGAAATAAAGAATGTGACTCTGACGCTTGGCACAGTTCTCCATTTTCCATTCACAACCAATGACTAATGTTACTGTCATTTCACCATGACTATCATCTTTGTCAAACTTAAACAACTTATATTTGTAAGGTTTGTATATTTGTAAGGCCTTGTATGCCTTTATTGATGGGACAGGTCAAAGGTTTGGGCTCAGCTTAAGATACCATTATACTAATTGAATTATCTACATCTTAAATAAACCTTCTAAAAAGATTAAATGAAAGCAAGCAGTTATGTTTTAAAGAAAAACTCAAGTTAAGGGGAGTTATTTGGACCGAGGGTGTCTGCTGTAAACACTCATTAGTTTACAGGCCCAGATGTGCACTGTACTATAGTCACAGTGGACTCTGCTCATTTCAGTGTAAAATCAGTGTTAACATACATTTAGAGAGAGGAGTGACGACCAGAGAAGAAAAGAAACAGTTGTGATTAACCCCAGCAGAGTCTATTCAGAATATGTATCACATGTTAGAGAACTGGATGATTCCTGTAGCCAATAAAAGCTAACATAAAAAATTACCAATTAATATAGAAATTGCAAAGAAACAATACATTTAGTGTGGACAATTTGTACATATAAAATATATTTCAATTACTAATTAGACTTATGGGTACGTTGAATGTGAATGCAACATTAACAAAGACAGTTTCAGATTTCAGAACTGTTTTGTTTATGTTTCTTTCTGGAAACTAGTAAGTTTCAGCTTGACAGATATTTATAAAATTAATCAATCGATCGATCTATCAAATTGTATTTTTTTATAGCCCATCATAAATCACATGCAGTTTGTCTTTTTGGGCTTAACAAGGTGTGATATCCTCTGTACTTCACCCTCAGCAAGAGCAAGGAAAGACTACCCCCAAAAATGATTAACAAGGGAAAGAAATCTAGAAACCTCAGAGAGAGCCACATGTGAGCGGCCCCTCTCCTGGGATGGAAACAAGTACAGTAGATGCTGCGTGCAATTGAACGCGTCAACAAAATAACAGTATTTATAACACTGATGACAAAAGGCAGTGTCTAACATTGACAAAGAGGTGTAACAATGATTGAAGTATTTGTTTGAATAAAATGTGCAACAGAGCTGAAGGGAGCAGTAATGGCAGTTGTAATGATTGAGGTGTTGTCAGGAATGGTGGTATATTGTATATCTAGCCATCTAGTTGCGGTTTTGTGTTTTCAATTCTAAGTACAGCTTGGTATCATCTGCATAGTATTATTTCATGGTCAAATGATACTCCACATACTGTGTGTGTGAGTGTGTGTGTGTGTGTGTGTGTGTGTGTGTGTGGTGAGAGTGGTAATATAGCAGAAGGGGCTTAAAGGACAATGGATCTGACACTGAGAGGAGATTAACAGAGCAGAGAGAGTAAAAATGAAAAACAGCCTCTAAATTTCCCTACACGGACCTCAATCTAGATCCACTGCACTCAGTTCTCATTCACTTAGCAGCGTTCCATCTTTGCATTACATTAATACATTTACATTCACAGATATGCAGCGGCAGATTTCAAGAAACATTCATGTTACAACGTTGCATCAGCATTTTTGTGCAAGATGTTGCGCACATTTCTCAGTTTTATGGGACTGTAGGTCTTCCAAAGAGTTTATGACACTTACTTGCTGGGAAATGCTTAGAGCAACAATAAACCTGTTTTTAATGTGGCCACTCCTCAGCTCCCCTCTTATTGTTATCTTTTACTAGGTCAGTGTCAATTTAAACTTGCCTGGAATCTTCTGTTCTCTTGTCCTGTGTTTATTCTCCAGAGAATTATTCCTTGTCATAAGTGAGTCCTCCTCAATCTGTTCTACACTATACTGTCACTTTTTTCATACATTACACGTGGACTATTTCAATGGTCTGGTTAAGCAACCAACACAACCTTCAGACCACAACTTTTTAAATCTCTGTAATTCTGCTCATTTTAAAGCACAGCAGCTTTTTTACTTTAAGGGCAAATTGCAAACAGAAAGTGATTCTGTGAATGCTACTGCCATGAGGGAGATCACATCAGCGACCATGAATGTCTGTGTCAGTCTGATATGGTCAAATAAAAACAATACAATTATCAGAATGACCTGGCTGTGATATTGACCCCAAGTTTGACCCAGGTACTGACCGCTGCTATAGTTTATTAGAGGACATAGAGGAAGACATGTTCAAGAAAGTCCAAAGACCAACAGTGAGCACACCCACATAGCACTGTACGCCTGTTCATTTGTGTTTTTATTCAAATTGAACATGTTGTGACTCAAAATCACACCAACGTCAGCAGTGCGCCTCCTCTGTCAATTTACAATACACATGCCAAGAGTGAAGCTGAGCAGATGAACAGTTCACGTTCCACAGATGTTTGTGGAATTATTAGGACCATGAAGTTTAATTTACTTTTGGATACAACCTGCATCCAGCTGCACCACAGTGCAACCTGTGGCTTCTTCTGACTTTGCTTTGGGCTTAATGTTCCCGTGCCCAATTTAGGTTATCATTTCATTTGCTTAGTGACCATCTGCTGCATAAAACACTGTTCAACTGGTAATCCCCAAGAAACTAGCAGCTCGGTCAGCAGAGCAGACAGCAATACTGGTGATTTCTGCCCCACTGAGCCAGACACTCAGGCTAATCATCAGTCTAATTTTTGATTCTATTGGTCGTTGTTGTCCTTTGTACAGCGCTGTCTGGAGAGCTCCTGTCAATCACACTTTGACCAGCACCGCCAACATTTTGATGTATGAGGATATGAAACTGATGTGAAAATATTCATCATATTTACCACGTTTTAGGATTCTTTATGAGCTCTGTTGAACGCCTGTAAGGTTTAGGCAGTGACAAAGTGTGGAAATAATAGGAATATAAGAATCACGTTTTGAAATACAATAGATCTACCCGCTGCCCGAACTTCTCACCTTTTGTCATGTCTTCATCTCCGTGTGCATGTGACATGCCCTTCCATATTTCTCTGTTTCTTGTCCTCTTCTCCCTTTTTTTCTGCCCCCCTGTGCCAATCCCCCACTGGATAATCTGTAGCTGTAATCTGTCATCTGTCATTGTTTCTCTTGATGGGACATTTGCAATGAGGCCAGATTATCATCTCATACCATGACCTGACCAGGCAGGATGAGACAAAATACACCCACTCATACACAGATGGACACTCCCTCCCTCACCTCCTCACTCAATTGCTCACCCGCTCACTCATTCACTCACGGAGAGATAAACAGAGAGAGAGATGTACTGTAGGCGACAAACAGGTACAGAGAGGACAAGAGACCAGGATGAAATACAGATACAACAAACACCCGTGTGTGTGAATGTTTTCTCAAACATGAGCTTTGTTCATGTGGGGAGACACAGTGCATAGTGCACCATGAATCTCTGTGGGTTCATCAGTTTTTGTTGATGCCACAAATGACAAATCCACAGTTATCCTTATTTAGGTTGAGCCAAATAATAAGCAGCCACTACATGAGTGTTCGTTTGAATCTGTACACGTACATGTGGGCAGTGGCCACCGGGATTGACAGACATGTGGCTAAACAAACAAGACTGTTTACTGTTAGTCTCACTTCCACTTTTACAGAGTTACAGAAACAGCTTTCTCTTTAAACCCCGACAGCGAAAGTTAAGATGTTGCATGATGACAGAACAGAACAAATTAACCTCAGTCCCAACACGCAGGAGATGAGAAGAAAAAGTGGAAGGAAGAAAAGAACAGAAGCAGACAGGAGAAATGATGAGAAACAAATAAAAAGAATGAGGGTTTGAAAAACATGTGAAGATGGCAAGTAAGTGAAGGAGGAGAAAAGGAGAGAGGGGTAAAGATATTCAGGGTATGACAGAAATAACACAAACAGGAAGTTTGTGTCAACGGCAGAGGAAACCACATCTCTGCTCTCAGTAACCACCTTCGTCTCTCTCTTCCTCCTCCTCCTCCTCCTCTCTGTCTGTCTGCCTTCCCCAAAATGTTCCATTCACCTACTTCAAACACAAGAAATAGGGTCAAACACAACTTATATTACTTTACTGAAAGTATAAAAAGTTTATAGTATTAATTACAAAAATCACAGACAACAAAAGAAACAGTAACACTGATTCCATTATGTTCAGTATCTCAGTTTGTGTCCTTTTAGTCTTTTTTTATGAATGTTTTTCTGAATTACATCTAATCTTGCACTGTTACTACTATAAAACTTTATCCAATGCAGAGTCGAGCTCAGCACAAAAACTGGAAGCAGTGGGAAGCTGCTTGAGAAAAATCCATCCACTCAAAAACGTTCTTAGTTGCAGCTCCCCGGAGCAGCTGTGTGCAGTCACTTTGTTCAGCAGCTGCATAAGGAGTCTCAGGGGTGAAGCCAAATACAGTAGAGTCGAAGTAACTGGTGACCGCTTCTTCAAACTAATAAAAACGAAACAAAAAAAAACATAAAATGCCTCCATGCTGCTCCTCTGTGGTGTCCTCCAAGTGTCTGTAAGCCCCGACATTCAAATACGACTTGAAACTAGTACATTTACACACGTTTTTAGCCTAAATGTCCACTGATATCCTCCTCTGGAGCTGCGCTCATGCGTGGACAGACACTTGGATGACACCACAGGAGTACACGTCTGAAGAAGATGTTGCGACTGACTTTAATTGTATTTGATTTGGCTGCCACACTATTTACTCCAAAAGTGTTTTTTTGACTCAAACACTTCACCCACCTCTCCATAGGCATAGTGGTGAGTGGATAATGAGTGAATTTTCATTTTTGGGTGCAGTATCCCTTAAACTGCTGTGAATGAGCAAAGTGTATATTGATGGCAATTAACTGATTCCCAAAATATTCTGAAGTCAACATCAGTCAACATGAAAAACCTCGATCTGGTGTCATTTCTCACACTCACAGGTAGAAGAACACTGCTTACTTGAGTTTACATACTTTAGATTGATGGTGGTACAAGAAGAGATATATATATAAAAGAATTGTATGAAAGATCAATTTTACACATTCTTAGAAAATGTCTTGGCAACTAACTCCTCAACAAACAGAGCTGATGTTCCTGCACAGCGATAAATACTGATGATGATGGTAATGATGATGATGAGGAGGAGGATTGAGGAAGATGCAGTTCAGTAGTTGTAGTCACTGTTCCTGTTGGATGAAGGTTCTCTGCTGTCGCTCACTGTCAGTCGGTCCAGAGCTGATTTTAAAAACACAGAAAGAGCAGCAGATTTATTATATGACTCTGTGTGTGTGTGTGTGTGTGTGTGTGTGTGTGTGTGTGTGTGTGTGTGTGTGTGTGCGTGTATTACCAGGGAAGGACAGTCTATTCTCTCCATCATCGTTTTTACAAGTTTTCCCTCGCTGGTAAGACACTGCGACAGAGACATACAACAAACGTTAGTTACAAATAATTCAAATGATACATCTGCTGTTTTTCTCTCTTTTTTAAATTTTGCTGACAAACTCCATGTGCAGGACCAAACCAACACTGTATTAGTCCACATCGCAATACCGTGTGACTTTCTGTTCTGTCCCTGCCTCTCATTACTCGTTCCTATCATAACGGAAAAGATGAGTCCATGTGGTGCTGTAGTGAGTGTTTGGGACAGCAGCACAGTGCGTGTGTTTGTGGTGATGAAGACACAGGTTGGCTCACTGATTCTACTACGATAGAGAGCAGTGGCTAAAGTTTACTTTATATCAAGGAATGGAGAATAAGGTCTAAATTTGACACATTTGACTGACTGACAAGGCTACAGGCTCAGGCTACAACCTGGTTTTGGTTGTATAACATATAACTTCCTTATCAGACTTTGATTTACAAAGTGGCACAGTGTTGCAGTGGTTAGCACTGTCCCCTCACAGCTAGAAGGTTCCCAGTTTGAATCCCATTCTGGCCTGTGTGTAGTTAGCATGTTCCCCTTGTTCGATTCTGAATATCATTGGATCGATCAATTAGGGCTTTAACAAGGTGTGACACCCACTGTCCTTAACCCTCAACAAGAGTAAGCAAGATGGATGGATGATTCACCCAAGATACATTGCAGAATAAAAGAGTGTGTGTGTGTGTGTGTGTGTGTGTGTGAGAGAGAGAGAGACTCACCACTGTGACTCTGTGTAGGTCCGACCCAGCGATTCTGCCTCCTGTCTGACACTGAAAACAAACAACACAGTGGCCATTGAACATGCAAGTGAACTCAGAGGTTATACTTCGTACCTGAAAGTTGCAGACAGTAGTACCGTACTCTAGGGGAGGGTCTGTTCTGGTGAAACATGGTGAGGCATGCATACATTTTGCACCGTAGTGACTTGTAAATATGAGTGACAACAACAAGTTGCAAAGACTAACATGGCGTCTATAGTAACACATGTAAATTACAGGAAGGTATGTTTCCGTTTACAGACGTATACACCGTGAGGGATGGATGGTGAAAACACAGGTCACATGCTTTCAATGCTTTGTAATTGATAGTATCCATACAGAGTCACCTCACCCTGGAGTCGCTCTGTGATAACGTGCAACATTCTTAAGGACCATGTTCACCATGAATGAATTATTCTGTTCTATTCCACTACTGGTGGAATCCTTTGATTTTCAGTCTTTCTTGGGCATAATCTTTAATCTGACAAGTCTTAATCTAAAAATATGAGTTCTCAGCTCAATAAGTACGGATTGCATACAAAGATGTGTGCAGATGCACGTATATGCAGTGTGTGTGTGTGTGTGTGTGTGTGTGTGTGTGTGTGTGTGTGTGTGTGTGTGTGTGTGTGTGTGTGTGTGTACTCACATCTCTTCTGCAGTGCTTGGACAGTGGGTCTGGTGAAGCGGATCAGTAAAAGGACCAGCAGCACACAGCACAGCAAAGCTGTCGCCACTCTGTAGGACTGCAGCTGCCCCTTAACATCTGGTTTGTCCTCAGCTGGATACACTAGTGCATGCACACACACACACACACACACACACACACACACACAGTAGTGTAACTAAACAGGTCATGCACACACAGGCTTTGTTGCTTGACTGTGCTGTCTGTCATCAGTTGTTATCAGGGCTGCTTTGAGATGAGGATGGAAGCCATGAAAACATGATGAAACTGTCCAATGTATTTTAAATTATTGGAGAATCGTGTGAAGTGTAAAACCCAAACTTGGTGTAAAGGAAGTTTAAGCCTGTTTCCTCAAACTTCTCAGTTTGTAACAGAAAGCAAATATTATAAAATAAGCTGGAGAGCCCCATTAATACAGGCCTCATCTCTGTAGGTCAGATTAGAGCCACTGAAAAGCCATGAAATCTCATAAACATGACTACTAAACTAAAAAAATTTGTATTTAGATAATAAAATAGACTCACAACTTCTTGAGCTACAAAACCTTGTGTTAAACCTATTATAGATATAATCTTTCTATGTTTCCCACTTTATTCCCTCTTTTTTTTCACTTTCAATCTGACAACATACAGTTTAAAAATCAGAAAGAAAGGCAAATGAAGAGGTTGTGAGACGTGTGTGTGTTAAGATTGTTGGTAATTTGTATCTTATAGCAGTGTAGCTGTAAGAAGTGATGCAGGCTGCAGTAGTACTTGGCTCAGTAAAGCTACTAACTGAGCTTAGGCAGAACAGACAGCATCACTGTACATGATCATTCTCAGTGCTGCTATGTGTTGTGTTGTGCTGTAGAAATAGAAGGTGAGCTGAGATACCATGTAGATACCATGGGACCTGTGTGTGTGAGTGTGTGTGTGTGTGTGTGTGTGTGTGTGTGTGTGTGTGTGTGTGTTCGTTATGCACAGTGATTGCACAGAGCCTTACTCTTGTAACTGCATGATTACAATCAGAATTTTTACAGAGGGGAAAACACACACTTGCACAGAGAAACACACACACACAGTGGACTAACCTTTGCAATTGATAGTCAGTGTCTCACAGCTTGTCATCAACTGTACTCCACGCACTGAGATGTTATAACCCTCCATAACATCTCCGCCTTTCACCAATTGCAGTTTGTCTGTGCAACCTTTCTTGTTCTCACACACTGTTGTCAAAAGTTCCCTGACGGTTGCTTCACTGTCATGACAGACACGATGGGAGGTGGAACGAGTGGAAGGAGTGGAAAGAGTGGAGGGAGTGAAGAGATTGTGGAGGAACAGGTGTCCGGCACATTTATTTGTCCAATTCACAGTGAGGAAACCGAGGAAAGGTGTAACTCTGCTGGGGTTGCTGGGGGCAGCAGTGGTCGATGGAGCAGCTGGACTGGACTGGTTGACTTCGTCACTGAAGTTCCCTCTGGGGAGGGAAGTGGAGTCTGGCTCATGTTCCGTGGCTTCTGCTTCGTGAGACAGACATCAGTTAGTTTGAAGGAGACGGACACAAACGCACTGGTTCAAAACAAGCAGTAACGTTCTGGGACACATTGATGTAAAAGATCCAGTGGATGTTCAAACCTGCTCAGTTCACTGGTTGACAACTAATGATGCAAGTGTAGCTGCTGATATTCAAGCTCTTTATACTGAACAACCTGGTGCAGAACACAGCAGCGGACTACATCCAGCTCTTTTCGCATCACCCCACCTCTACAGTGGCTGCCTGTTTTATTCCGAAGACATTTTACAGTTTGACTTTTGACCTATGAGGCTTTTTAGCAGTTTCCCATGAACCAATTTGAAAACCAAGGGTGAGCGTGCCTTTTCAGTTTCGGCCCTCGTCTCTAGAGCAGCCTCCTGCTCAGTGTGAGTTCTGCAGACTCCACTGCAACAGTTCAATTCCTCCTGAAGACTCGCTTCTACAAGACGGCCAACACTTAACAATGTCTGCTCTCTATTATTACATATTACTATCAATACATTTTACTACTTCATGGTGTTTTTATTTAATTGCATTTATTTGATTTTATGGTTTGGACTCATTTTTATATCATTTATAGAAATTCAGGAAATGAATTATGAGATAATGTTTTATACCTGCAGGAGTAGACTATCCTTATTAGCAATATTTGATCGTATCTGTATCTTGTTTAATTTAATTTAATTTAATTTAATTTAATTTAATTTAATTTAATTTAATTTAATCAGTCAGTGCTGTTGGATATTTTAGTTTTTAAAATGTGTATGTCCTAAGGGGGGTTTCATGGATCCGATTTTAATTTCTTCTTTTTGCTTTTAATTATTAATATTATTATAATGATTATTATTATTATTATTTTGAGAACAGGGCCGTTTTCAAAGCAAAAGCCCTTATTAATATTTGTGATGGGTGTTGGTTTTATTTACAGTTTATTCTCTTTATCCTTAGCTTAAAGAATTGTATATTAAATGTGTGAGCTCTCTCACGATAACATAAAAATGATCCAATATTCATACAGTCTTCAGACAAAAATAAAGAAATAAAACAGAACACAAAACAGTAAGTCTTCGCTGCACAGTTCGACACGGTGGACGCTGACAATTGACGATTCATGTGTCCGAATGGCATCAGAACTCATTCAATCAAATAAATACCTTTGACAGGTGGAATGAGAATCATGTCAGCACCCACCCACTGCTTTAATGTCAAATAATTAAATGTCAATATGTGTTTTGTTCCTGCTGCTGCCTCTCTTGTATGGGATAAGAAGAGAAAAACACATTCAGTATACTTGAACTGAACCAAGCCATAATGTAACAGTACAACCCAGGTCTTCTTGACGACCAGCGGAGTATTCATATGTTTTATACATTGACTCATAGTTCAACTTATATGATCTGGAACACTGTTCATGTGTTCACTTGTGTTCATGATCATTTCTCGCTCATAACAAACTTTTTATTAAACACATCTCAGCTAGAACACTCAGAGCTCTGTCACTTTTTCAAACATCACGTTCTGATCCTCTTAACACCACAAACCGCTTTCTATTCAGCGCCGCTGTGTTGGGTTGGCGGAACAAGTTTCAGCAGCGTTGATTTCAAAGTCTTTGCATACAGATGTGAAACTATTTGCATGGCCAGATACAACTGTGGGCAAATGTGGAAATGTTTTCATTTGGGTGAAGCAAGGTCTTATTAGTTATGTTAAAAAGTCCATTAAAAACAGAACGTTTGCTTTTACTGCCTCTGAGGAGGTTGTGTTTTCATTGTCTGTCTGTTTGACTTAATTACTCTGCTCACAAGCTGGATTTTTATCTCAATGCACCGAATGTGTTGCTGCAGTTTCTTTTGATTAAAAAAAACAAATACTGAATGAGAGGCTAAAATGTAAAACTATACGGATGTACAAACCAGACCTGTTGTCTGTAATCCAGTGTAACCTTATGTAACCTACAGGTAATGACTCTTTAAATATGTCAAGACTATTCTGTCCGTTTTCTATCTGTTCTTTTAAACCAATTTGACATAAGCAATTAAAGTTCAGTTTTGAGTTGAAGAGACGTTAGTTGCACATATCTATAATTTCATTTTACTGTTCAAAGCAGGAAAGGTGCTCCCAACTAAGGTGAGCAGAGAAGCGCCAAGGTCCTTTACACCCGTTCAGCAAAACTGTGAAGGTTCATCAGCATTATCAGCAAAATATACCAAAACTAAGAAGAATAAAATGTGCAGCAGAATGTGCACTATAACACTGTATAAAGTAATATTGGTTTGTATTGTTTGAACAATATAACACTTTATACACAAATATATAAATATGAAGACACTGGACTTTATTGTCCGACCGGCACAATAGGGCAAATGCTGTTTTTATACGATTCTCCACTTTATTGTATGTTTGTGCCTGTTTGTTTTCCTGGCACCAGAAAATGATTTTAGTTTGGTGTCGATGTGGGACGAGCACAGCCGAGCCTCTGTTCATGCTGATGCAGTTCTGGTTCAAGTGCTCATGTTGATTCTGTGTTTCACTTACGTTAAAACCTGTTCTCATCTCCATAACTTCAATATTTCCCCCTCAATCAAATATTTTCTTCCTGGAAAAAATGTCAGTGTGATCTTTAACCCTGTGACCTGGAGTTCTGCCAAAACTCAACATCGCTGTTCTACATGATGAGTGAGGCGCCCACGACAATTTGTGGAAAGTCAGAACCCTTGTCACGTTGCTCGCACAGCAGCAGAAATGGCACTGGACCAATCACACAACATCAAACCGCTATGTTGGATAAATACTTGATCTGAGACTCTGACATATCTAAGATTGTAACATTGCTTTCTAATCACATTCAGAAAGCTCCCTGTCCACTGCTGTAGAGTTCGATTTCCATCAGCTGCTTCAGACATTCACTGGCCTGGATTCTATCTCTCACTGTCTCATCAGCCATTTGAAGTGAAGAATACAGAAGCGATAGTCAGGCCTGTTGCCTTACACAAAGATTGAAATACTTTTATACTGTAATATAATGAATCACTCTTCCCATCTCATCCCATCTCATGTTAATAACACTGCATTAGTGGGCTCTTTGTTTTAACGATGAATACGACATCGGAGGTGGGTTTGACTCTAATAACAGATCCAGACTCAGAGACGGAGGATTGTTGATCTGTGGAAACTTAACACCTACAAGCACGTTTATGTTACAAAGGTGTCAAACCGAAGTGTGTGCTAGAATGAACTGGAGTGGTCTGTGCACACCTCACTGTGTCTAACAATAGAAATCAGACCTGTGCAGAATGGAGGTCATGCAGCTTTTTCATGGCAGCGCTGCTGATGCCTGGACTTTATCTTTAGCTGTTTTATTTTAAAATTAAGGTGTGATTTCAGTTTACATCCTGCACACGTTGGTTTCACCTGTGACATATTTCTCTTACCTGCCTTGTGTCTTCACGTCTGTTTTTGATAAGTTCCTGATTGAGCGACACGACCTGGAGCTTTCGGTGGCAGCCCTGACAAGAGCTGCTCGAATTCTTTAAATGTTGAGGAAAGGAGTTTTAATGATTCCTATCTTATCTCCTCTAGAATAGACTAGAAACATAAATTCTGTACGTAGAGAGCGCGTCGGCTGCTGCACCGTTCCTCAATGTTACTGCCATATTAGACAAGACTGGCCCGTAAACAGATACAAGACAACAGGGGAGCTGTATATGATGTTATAACGTTTTCAGTGAGTTATTAAATCTACAAGAAATCTGATTTGTGATAACCGCAGGGAGAGTGAGGAGTGTGTATAATGTCATAAAGAAATGCAAAAGCTAGTGGCTCTGTTTCCTGTGAAGCACGTTGAAAGGCCTCTGTATGATAATTAGCTCAATACATTTGCCTTGCCCTGCCTTGCCTTATGGATTTCATTACTGTGAGAGAAAACACATGTGGCCGACACCAGACAACTACAGATAAAAATGATTATTAAAAAAGAAAGCGCTTTACTGATTTGCAGAGCGGAAATTCAGTTTCCAGCCGCAGAAGTTGACTAATTTTCATGTCGTGTTGCTAAAAATAGAACTTTATTTTATTATTTATTTTAATTAATATTTCAAAATAAATATATTATTTACCATACTTCTAATTATATTGCATGCTATATAAATAGTATATAATAGCTATATAGTAAAGAGTCAGACGTAGTAAAATAATATACAATGTAGTTTAGGAGTATTACTTATTATACTATTATTATTATTCTTAACCAGTGAATACAATAATATGTAGAGTAGTATTAGTAAAATATGATATAATGTTACTAGGATATAATATAATATAATATTAGATTAATAATATCAAATAGCATGTAGTATATAGGTTTCCACTTAATAAAAGCAGTATAAATTATATATAATACAAGAAAACTTTATAAGCAGTGGATGAAATATAAAATAATGAGAAAACAAATAATAATACAGAATAATAATAATAAAATACCATAGGTTTTATTATTTTTACGTTTAGGGCCACTATGCTCTGCTCACTCTTCAGTGGTTCGTCTGTTTTGTTCCTGGATGACTCCACAGGCCACGTTAAGTCACTTGACAGTAAACTCTCCTCTACACACTTAATTTATCATTACATTTTAGTTCATGTAAAAATATGTTTGTTATATTTGTTTTTATGTCATTTGCATCATTCATGCATACAAAATAATGTGGAGGTCACCATTAGCATATATGAGCTAATATTAGGATTTTAGTTTGGAAGCCAACCGTCTCTGATTAGTTTAGGGAACTCAGTGATGTAATAATAAAGAAATGAGGAACGTACTGATTATTATTATTTTACAGTTCCAGTGAGTAGTTACTGTTCTGTGTTTCAGAGTCAACAACCAAACCTCATGAGGATTGACCTTATTAACAACTGATTCAGTATTGTAGTGTCTGTCAGTCACTTTACCATCATCTGCTTTCAACCTGATGTCAGATTCATTGAGGAATGACTTATTGATGACCTGATCAACCATCATGTCCTTCCTGAATCTCTCCTCCCTCGTAACAAGTGTGAAGTCTGCTGTTCATTCTGGTAGCATGGAGACTAGAGTGCAGGCCCTGTCTGAGGTGACATACGTCCAACTCCACAGAGACACAACATCAGGACGACATGGAGTCTCATCATGATTGTACACTTACTGAGAATCAGTTTAAAGAAAGATAAAGATCTAGAAAGGATACGAACAACCGGATAGTGATGCCATGATAAACTTACACCAGCCTACACTAACTTTTAAAGCCAAAGCTAGCAGCAGCAGCGAGGAGACATTTTGACTTTCCCACAACATGGGTCTAAAACAGCAAGTTGTTGATGTAAAAATCACACAAGGTTTTCCAACCCTGGTTTATATATCTGTTGTGCATCAAATGCATCAAGATACGTTTTCTGCATATTTGAATGAGTCTTTTGTCTTAGCGACGCTTCTCTCTATTCCGTTCAGGCCTGGGAATGTCCCAGTATCTCAGTGGGTTAAGGTTAACACTGTTCCAAACCAGCTGCCTGGTTCTTCTTCAATATTCAGTCTGTGCCAAAGATGACGTGCACTTACCAGCAGTAATGAGCAAAAGAGCCGAGATGGTCACAGCCGTCTTGAAATCCATAACAGTGCCAACAAACAACAAGTGGAAGGAGACAGACTGAGAGTTGGACAACACGAGGAGAGGTGACACAAGTCAGATCAGAGACACTGACAACAGAAAAAGTGATTAGAGAGGAAACAGAGTGGAGGTGTAACCCCCCCCCTCTCTCTCTCTCTCTCCCTCCTTGCAGTGAATCACTTCATCCACCTTCTGCTGCTGCTGCTGCCGCCGCCGCTGCTGCTTGTGCAAAAGTGCAGATTTCCTCCCTTCAAAGCAAGAGACAGAGCGAGGAGGGGGAAGCAAGAAATGATGATGAGAAGGGAGGAAGGAGGAAGAGGTGAAGGGCAGAGTAATGTGATTCTAGGCTAATTTGACTTTTTCAACATGTTTGTGAGTCATGAAGCTCTGCTCTGTAGTAGTTTATTGAACTGAGGCGTGAAATGCAACATTATTAACAGGACTAGAAAAATGTTCCTTTACTTACTGTTTGCATGTTAAGATACTTTTATAATGTTCTTTTTTTCACTTTGCATACCTTTCACAAATTCAGCCACTGACCTCCATACCCTACAGTAAATGTCAGTAGAGCTAAGTATTGATTATTGACCCGGGCTCCTTTATTTTGTCTTGAGCTTAAGCTGGTTCACGACAGTGGTGTTGAGCAAAATGTCTCGTTGACAATTATGTAGATTGTGTTTGCCGCACTGATCTGTATAAATGAATTCCAATTTCTTCAAGTGGTTTGTAAAATGACTGATGTCAACACTCCTTCTGTCCCACAATGCACTTCTGCACTGATTCCTGTGGACTATGAGGAAGCCGTTGAGGAGGCCATTAGTTGCAATCTTTGAGAGGAGTCTGAGTTCTCTCATGATTTCATACACAATATCTTTTAGATAGTATTATATGCAGTACCTGCTCTGCGACGTATCTGTTACCAGTGCATGTGCAGTACACCGTCACCACAGAGGGACCGCTGTCTCCAGCTTTGTATCGTATTATGCGAACACATCGATACTGCTGACAGGGCCATATCACCTGTTCTCTCTTTTGCGTCTGTATGATACTATTAACAAACCCGTCTCTGTGCTCTGCCTTATAGCTGATTTCTGTTTCCTCACCATCATAACATACAACCATATATGCACTTTTAGCGACGTAGCTGTGTCCACTCACATCGCCTCTTTTCGTCACCTCCTCCCCCCGACTCTAGATTATCTACCGGATGTTGTTGTAGATTTTTTTTCCATCTGATCTTCCTTGCATAAACCCTTATCAGACTACTGTGGATAAATTCTTGATCCTGATCCTTGTATGAACTAATCTTCCTGCTTTTGAATCTCTCCTCAGCTCAAGGTTTCATACTGTTAAAAGGGAGTTTTTCTTTTTATCTTTTTCTTATACACAGGATTCTGTGTGTGCTTCATGCCACATTTTGATGAAACAGATATGGGGGTAGATGATCTGCGTGGGCTGCAACAAGAGTTCTTTCTCGTGAGTGCTACACATCTGTGGGTTTTTTAGTAAATATTTGGTTTGATATATAAGTGGGTCACAGACTATCTACAGACATTTAGTGATTATTATAATCCATAGCATTTAAAAGTTTACTATATATACAGAGAGAGAGAGAGATTAGTAAAACTAATTATACTGTTAATCACAAAAGATTTGGAATATGAATTATCCAATTATTTATTATTATAATTCTAGTAGTACATTCCCGCTATGTATACATCTGCATAACCACATACACACACACACACACACACACACAGAATAATTTAAGTTTTTATAGGTTTGTATGTTAAATTGTTGTGTATCAGTGACTGTAATGCGTTGAGTTATTAAAAACTACAAAAAAAATATAAAGCTCCTGTGTGCAGCTGTGTTTGTGTACTATACTCGACTCCTCTTCTTCATGATGAGCTACAGAGTCACATTTTACAATACGTGAATGAAAATATCTGATTGTGTCACATACTGTGTGTGTGTGTGTGTGTGTGTGTGTGTGATTTTGCATTTCGGGACTTTTACCATCATAATCTTTGCAGATGGGAGAAGTTCTTTTTGTGAGAAATGTTTCTTTCTCACAGCCACTGACGTGTTGTGTGGAAACCTTGAGTTAAACATCATCTTCTCCTTCAGTCACAGGTGAAATATTCTCTCCCTGACTCATCTCAGCTTTGACTTCACTCTGCCTATTCACCTCCGTCACTCTCGTTTTCTCTCATCCTCCGCTCGTGGTTCACGGGGCCGTAGAAACGACAAAAGCCCCACAAATGTTCACCTCCTCCACTTTCTGCTCCTTTCTGCTCTGCATCTTTTTTCATCAGCAGTGACACATGTCATCCGGCTCTTCACAGGAGTCAGAAGAATTTGAGTTGTCACGACCTGAGAAAACGATGGGTGTGGATTGGAGTTTGAATTTCCCTCGACAGGGATGACCTTCACTTCACACGCTAACTGTCTGCTCATATGTCCACAAGACCTAAATGTTAATATTACACAACACAGACAACACTTTGAAATTTTTTTTGTGTCAAACACTTGGAGAGATGTTCAAAATCACCGAAATCAGCACATGGAGGAACTAGGATGTTTTTAACAAGGAGACTAAACGTTCAGAGATTCAAGAGCAGCGCATATATGACTGTACTGTAAAAACATACGTTCTTTGGATTAAATAACAATTACAGATGGCTAGACCTTGGAAACTTAAATTATTAGCATTCAAATTTAATATGACTATATGAATAAATCAGGTTCAAAAAGTCCTGAGTCCTGATAACTCAGAATCTGTGATTCATTACAAAGAGAGACATTTGTGTAGTGTTATTTCGATGGTAGTGGTTTGGTTTTGTTTTGTACTTTGTAAAATCTCATGAGTTATATTCTTTTATCATTAGAGTAATTTTACAGAAGTAAATATTCTGTGATAACATAAAATAATGTTTCCCAAATTGGGATGAGTTAACGGAAATCAACATTTTAAGTTAAATGCATTTGAGCCCAAACTTGAGACATTAGGTTTGGAGCTTTTTGGTTTCAAGTTTTGAGTTTTCTAAAGTTAAATTGTTTTTACAGTGTGTGAAGTGGCAAGAAAAAAAACTACTTCTAGTTGTACATCTGACAAACAATTCGGAGGCAACCTTCTCTCTGATTCTTTGATTAAAGTTTTTACAGCTCAGTCTTGCCTGTGTCATCATGAGGAACGATATGTCCTGTTGATGAGTCGCTGGTAAATTATTCATGAAGAACTGCCTCAGCAGGGCGTATAGATGTTGAAGTTATTTCAGTAGATAGTCTTGTATTTAAAATCAGGTCCACTGTCTCTGTCCCGTTTGATATCTTATTTTAAAAAGTGTCAAATGGAATTCTTCACCCATCCAGCAAAAAGCTCCTCCTGCAGTTTTACTCATCTTATTTCTTAACTGTTCATAGCTCATGAAATGATACATATTCTGTATGAAGCTATGAGTTCAAATACTTATATTAAAGAAAAATAATCATAAATACAGTAACAACTTTGATTTCTTCTTTCTTGTAATTTCAGATGCCAAAAGTGGTTCTGGTATCTGCATGTTGATTATTCACTGGCTCTCTTTACTGTTCTAAATGGAATCACTGGGTTTTGGATAATTTCAAGATGTGACCTTGAAAGTGAAGAAGTTGTGGCAGACATTTTTT